ACCACGGGCTCGGAGAGAGGGACTGAGCAGGGTGGGGAGCACAAAGAGCTGTCCCTGCACTGCAGGCAGGCTTTAACAGCCAGCCCAGGCACAGACCAAGCATGTCTGCCTGGTGATATCTGGGGCAGCAGGGCCTCAATCACACTGCCCATACTGTCACTTTTCCATGTCTCACCCTCTGCACTTCCAGAACAGGGGCATGTGGCTCTGCTTCCCCACGTGTTGCTGCTGCTTCATGGTCATTCAGGCAGCTGTACTCACCCTTGTACGGGCAGCTGAAGGTTTGCTCAGCCTCAACACAGCCAGGGCTCTGCCGTGGCAGGCTGGGCTCATCTGAACCACTGCCCACAAACACCACACGGCCGCCTCACCTGCCCTGGTGAGGATGAGGTAATAAGCCTTGTACCTGCAGGGTACAAGGCTTATTACCTCACCCAGACACTGCAGACAAAATCTGTATGTATTGATTCTGCCACTTTGGTAGGACATCAGATACGCTCCTCCAGACTCCTTGTCCACAGTGCTATGCCTCAGAGGCACTCCAGTGCCTCACCACTTCTGCTTCCTCAAGGGAATCCCGCCCATTTTCATCAGCAGACCTCAGCAGGATAGAGGCACTGATCTCCTGTGCTTGCACCAAGCAGCATCTCTCTGAGCACAGCACCAAGCATTTGGGGAGATGGGCATCAGCTCCTGCCCCAGGGGTCATCAGGACCTTGATTCTCGCTGTGGTTTCTCCTTGTTTTGCCATTTACAGTAGCTCAAAGGGCACAAAAATCCACCAGCTCCTGGAGGAGGCACTTGGCACTCACTGCATGGTGGGGCCACCACCCAGTGCACTCAGGGTTTACATGCCTATGTCCCAAGAGATTCACACTGACAGAAAAGTCAACCCCAGCAGGGAAAATGAACAGATGGATAACCACCCGCTGAAGAGGAAAATGTTGAGACAACTGGGTGCTATAGTAATTCATATCCTTTCTTTGATCTCAGCAGTGTCTTTGTACTGCATATAGAAAGCAAAGGGGAGAACAATAAAGCTTTATGCTAAGCCAGTGACTTTCTCAAATTCACTTTCCTGCTCCGTAATGGGAACAGAGGATTGAACCCCAGCCTGCATTAATGAAAAAACAAACAAAAGCAGAACTTCATAAGTGATGAAAGTTACATTTCCAGCCATTTATTTATTTGCTTTTGCCTCTTAAGAGCCTATCTATGCATTGCATAGGAGTCTGTTGGAAGCACCTCCACTAAAAGTCTTTAGTCAATTTAGTCTGAATTCTTATCACGATAAATAGCAGGAATAAGCAGCATTTTATCAACTTGGCCTCATTACCATCTCCTCACTTGTTCCCATGTCAAATCCTGGAAAAACTCAGAGCACTTTGTCCCAAAGTTCAGGAGATTCAGGCCCTGTTAATCCATGGCTAAAAACAAATTTCAGAAGAAAGGCCCTGGGAGCCCTCCAAAGACTATTTCAGTGAGCACAGATAGAGCTCTTTCTTGGTTTTTTATCACTCCATGTATATCCTGCAAGCTAAAACAACATGGGGAGTCCTGCAAAGTGCAACCAGATCCGCTGCTTGTAGCATCCCAAGGAAAGCTGATGGCTGAGGGCATGATGGAAATTGAGACTTACCACTTTCCACACTGCTGCAGACAATCTGTGCCATTCCCCTCTCTGAGACGGAGGTCACTGGCCTGTGTGTGACCTCCAAGATTGATGGCATGGCTGAAAAGAAAACTTGGGTCACCAGTAACTTTCCCAAAAACTACAGTTGCACCATCTCCTTCCTCCAATACATCCTTGGCCTGTGTTACCTAGGGGAAGGCATGGTTTATCCAGGCCTGAGAGGCTTGCAACAGGGTTCAGGACACACACTGCTGCTGCTAAGGCCAACCTCTCTGGGGATGCAGGGCTTCACAGTGTACAGCTCCCCCCCAGCCAGCCTGCCTTCCCCAACCTCTCCAGGCCAGGTGTCACTGTGGGAATACAGGCAGAAATCCAAGCCTTCTGTTAAATACCCCTTCTGAGGTAAAGTTAAGGATCAGCAACAGCTTCCAGCTCAGAAACTATACTTCCTCCTCCCTGCACAGCAGTACCATCAGCCTGCCTTCCCCAACCTCTCCAGGCCAGGTGTCACTGTGGGAATACAGGCAGAAATCCAAGCCTTCTGTTAAATACCCCTTTTGAGGTAAAGTTACAGAATGACTGCTAAGGATCAGCAATGGCTTCCAGCTCAGAAACTACACTTCCACCTCCCTGCACAGCAGTACCACGAGTCCTCAGTGAGCACCTTAAAAAGTTTCCTGTGCAGTGCAACAACTTTATTTCCAGCGCCTGCTGCCCACCCCCAGCACTGACTGCCGGACTGAGGCACAACTTGCACAGCCAAACCAGCGGCACTGGGAAAAGAGTGCTGCTTCTGACTCTTGTTATGTGTCAGGGATGCCAAGGCAGGGTGGGAGTGACACTGCGTTTTCCTTTTCTGGAACTCCAGGTCACCTACTCCATGACTTAGCTGCGGCGCCGCAGGTCTGAGGAGAGGACAAAGCTGGTTTGTTTTGCCATGGGCCCCTGCCAGGCTCACCCTGCCCATCGCTGTTGCAATGCCAGCTCTCCCTGGCCCAGGGGAAGCAACTCCGTGCCTCCTTCACCAGCCTCAGCCACACTCCTGCACCACCCAAAGCAGCTCCAGGCCTGCTGCTGCAGGGCCCAGGGACATGGGCTGTCCCAGAGCTCCATGGCCCCAGGGGGGCTGCCCACCCTCAGCAGCGCCCTGCCCACACAGGAGCTCAAAGATGGGAGTGTGTTTAAGGTTTCTGCAACAGCAAAAGGGTTTCAAACACTCAGGAATCATCCTACTGCAAGGATAAGGCTGAACCAGAGCAATACCACCCCCGCGCAGAGACAGGGATTTTGAGGAGACTATTTAATATTCCCCCTTCTTGCAAAACCTGTGTTTTCATCCAATGCTAAGGATTCCATAGAGAAAAATAATTAGCTCAAAACTTTGCAAACAGTTGGACATTGCCTGACTTCTTACCTTGAGCACCTCCTCACATAACTGCACTTCCAAGCAATACTGGGAGACTTCCCAACACATAGGCAGCAGGAAGCCCACGTAAGGCTGCCTGCTATCTACCACATGTTTAGCATCTCCAGTGGCATGATTACTCATTAAGTGGCTCACGCTAATGTTCTGACTATTGCACACCTGTTCCCTAGCACCATCTGCAGGCAAACTCCGTCCTTCACCCCTTCAGTGGAAAAGGTGCCTGCAGATCCAGGATAAGGAACAGCTCTCCACTGGATCACACGCTCAGCAGAGATCCAGGTGTTTGCTGCTCTAAATACACATTGTAGTAGAGACAAATTGTGCAAGTTTAGTTGTTTGCTGCAGGCTGAAAACTGTTTAGGAACACATGTTTAAACTTAATAAGCTACTTCTAGTCAAAAGGAAGAACAGCTGTTCTGATAAAGGCAGCCAAAAAAAAACCCCTGTCAATGTGATTTTAAGAAACTGAGGAAGATGAGGTGGAGGAAAACAAAATTTTAGGAGACAGCATCACTTACACTGCAAGCTTTGGCCCCTTCTCCCCCCATGAAATGGTCATGAATTAAGTTAATGCTTGTGTATTTTCTTCACTGACCTGGTAAAACTCCCCATAGTGAGAGAAAACCTCCACTTTCTTAGTGGCCCTCAGAACAGCTGAGTGCCATGCAAAACCCACCTCACTCAATTGCTGGTTTATAATCAACGAAGTTTTGATCAGTATTTCACAAACCCACATGCACCCAGGTGCTGTGAGGGAGCACCAGATTCAGCTTTAGGACACTGGACAACTGAAGCCACAGAGACCACTTCCAAGATATCACAAAATTGAGTTTGTCTCCCTGTCACATCCCGTGTCTCCTGATACTGAGCAGTCAGAAGAGTGAGTCCTTGAACTAACTCCAAACCCAGGCTTTTTGCTTTTAACACAATTCAAAAAGTAAAGCATTTTAAAAATCCATCTTAAAGTAGCCAAGGAAGAGGAGCAGAAGGGCTATAATTCTTCCAACTGTATTCTGAAAAGATGTTGCCTCTGCACCCTTCAGAGTCCGGTCAGCACAGAATACAGAGAATGTCCATCCAGCTGGGTTCTTTTAATGGCTCAGAAAGGGATGTGTAATCTGCCAGTTGTAACAGGAGCTTTCTTATCATGACTGGGTCCACAACTTGTGACTTTCAGTCAGCAGAAACAACAAATGAAGGGGACATCAAGCACTGTACAGTAGCCATCTCCCACACTAGGAGCAGCTGGCAAGCAGTCTGAGAAACTAAACTGACAATTTTATGGTGCTCTTCTCTACGAACTATTTGTTCAGAGACAGGAGAGATGCACAGGAACAATGTGTCTTTATCACATTCAAGAGACTATTAGGGTGCACACCAAAGGCCTTTGAGAAATTCCCTATTTTCATCCTACCCAGCTATATAACACTCCTTGCTTCTTGAACTTCCTACTGCAAAACTCCACTTTAACACAAGATGTACATTGGTTTTATTAATTACACCATAAATAATACTTTCTGCAACATAATATATTTCAGCTTCTGATCTATATCCGAATAAAGTGCTTAAGTTTAGGGAATACTTTTAGTGCATTCTGTGTAGTCACTTCTATAACTTCTCCAACTGGAATTCCTTTAATTTTGGCAATGTATTCAGCAGCAATGTAAATATTTTTGGGTTCATTTCTCACCTGAAAAACAAACAAAACCAACCAAATTACAGACCCCTAGAGATCACAAGTGTTTCAGATTCAGAACTTTCTGACACAGCTTCAGTGACATTGTGGCACATGCGGCAGAAAAATTACATGATTCCTCTTGGAGTAAGTCCCCTTGGTAGCCTCTTTCCTCTCTTGTAACCACATTCTGTGCCAGTAGCTGACCTCCACAAGGTGTGGGTTCGGATACAAATACACAGAAGTCCCTCCCTACCATCATTTACCTGTTTTTCAGGCCCCAGAGCAGGAGAGTCAGTTTCCAAGCACATATTTTCCAGTGGCAGCTGTTTCACAAGCTTCTGCTTCTTGAAGAAAAGAAGACAGCCATTAAATGCTTTATGCACTTAAAACTGTGGGGGAAAAAACATGAAGGGAAGATATTCCCTACATTTAGAGGCAACACCAAAAGACTTTGGTGCCATTGTTTCCATTTTATCAACAATTTCTGTATGGAAGCAACAACACCGGGAGCTACTCAAGAAGTCCCTTCAAATTAGGGTTCTCCTGTTTTCTAAATATGCAAAGCACTATTATCTCAAAGCTGAATTCATTGTTATTTATTAAATCACAGGTATGGTATATTGCAGTTATACAGTTGCCAGTGCAATTCTCATTTGCTGTTTTCTGTGCATATAATATTTGTGTACCTTTTCCTCCTCTATGCTTTACCTCTCAACCCCAGTTTGTTTTCCTTCCTAAGTACCTAACCTCATCCCCATTTATATCCACCCCTCATGCTCCCTCCACTTGAATCAAACTTTTTACTGTCTTACATTTCCTGAGCTTATCACAGAAAGCAGTCCTATCACAAAAACTACTCCTTCTCTACATATCATGTCCTTACTGTAAAACAGTACAGTGACAGAATGTTCTGAAGAAGAGTTCACCAGAAACCACAATAAAACAAACCCCTTGTTTCTCAGGAATAGCTGAGCTGTTTCAGCCAGAATTCCCCCTCCAAAGTCCAGCTAAGACAAAAGCCCCAGGCAAAAATTCAGCCAAAGTAAAAATGCGCAATGCATGGAGAAGGAGCAGACCCCAGCTGGAACCAGGACAAAACAATACCTGTTCACTCCTTATAATGGAAGGAGGGATGGAGAAGTAGTATCCAGCTCTCACCCCTTCCATGGCTACAGACGGCTTCCCATCAAAGGCATGGAGCAACACCTTGGTAGCACCTTGGAGAAACAAAGCAAACCACATCATCAGCAGGGTTACAGCAGGGCTGCCATGTCAGCTTCCAGTGCGACCTTGGAATTAAAACAGAATTAACACAGAAACTCTGCACTTCTGCTCCTGAGCTAGCACACACAAACTGATGTGAGGACACGGCACAACTGGAGAAATCCTGTTGGCAAAAGCCATGGCAGAGGAAATGAATTAAAAAAGCATACCTTGTTCCTTCAGGAGATTAATGGTTGGTCTTCCAGCTGAGCGGGAATGAACATTTCTGCACAGCAAGGAGAGGCCCAGCATTAGGAAATTTAGGCAAATACCTTTTCTTTTTGCACATACAAACAAACTAACAGTATCTTGGGATGAAAAGAATTAATCTGCATTACAACTTTTATCAAGAAAAAAACCCAGGGATGCATATATTAATCCTTTCAGCTACGGTGAAGATATAGGAACAACATGGCATGGACAGGGGACATAACATGTCTGTACAGAAGTGCAAACATAAGGAAAATTCTAAAACTAAATCTCAAACTGGAGACTGACTGGACACTTATGCCAGTTTAATCCATCTAAGAAAAGTTCTGTGGGCACTCAATAACCATAAATCCTGGGAAGCATTTCGACATGTTAGTGAGACCTGGCAAATCCTCCTCCTGGTATAAACAAAACCTACAATGGCAAATCCAGTCTCCTTGCCAGCTCAATCTGCTTGATCAAAACCTGTCTTTGTCCTTCCTTCTGTTCATCAGTGCTGGCAAATCTGGGAGTGAAATCTAGTCCAACCTACAATATAAGAAGACAAGGGAAAGGTTTTACAGATCTAACACTTAACAAAACCAAAATTAGACATACAAAGACATACCATGCTTCAAAACTGCAAAGAATTTCAAATTATGTGTACTAGAGACTGCAATTAAAATGAGCTCAGCTGCAGCTTAACTCAAAAAAAGAATGCATTCTCAGCCATAAGCTTTTTAACAATGAAAGCATTTGTGGGCAGACAGCTACTAACAAGGGTATTTAACATTGTAGTCTGTAACTGGTTTTCTGGGGGTTTATATTCTATTGAATATTATGTCAGATTAAGTCTCAAACATGGATCTCCAGTATAAGTAAAATTTCTGACCTGAACCTATAGCTTTAGTCCAATCTCTAGCAAAAATGACCCATTAATTTTACACTTTTTTGATCTAAACATGTTCAGGCAAAATTTAAAGTTTGTCAAAGCAGTCCCATTCACAGTTAGATGAAGAGAAGTTCTCCATACACAGTACAACATGGCAAATTTAGCTACAAAGTTCTGCCAAAACCCGCTTTATATATATATATCATAACCTTATTCTAAATACTCCTGAGCTAACTTTTCACAGTAGCAGCAGAGGTAATTAAAACAAGGCCCCAAAATAACTTGGTAACATTAAATAGCTGCAGACAGCTCCCTGAGATTTTCAGGACAAGGCCACAAACAGTCGCCTTCCAGTTCCCATGTTAACAAAGGAACATCTGCACATATTGTTTGCTGTAAGCAAAGCACACTTGGGATTTTTAAAACCATTTCACTGCAGCAATACAGCCAGATGACTCCAGAGAACAATTCTGCTTTAAGGGCTGATAGGGACAAATGGAGAGAGCCTGGGATTTGGTCCACTGGGTCTCCTTGCATTACAGAGGGCAGAAAAACCACTGGGCAGACCTGAAGGTAAATCAGGCAGACCGGAGCATCCTGTCATCTGTCCTGAAAAGTCCCAGCAGTATTTTAGAGGCCGCGTTTTACCTTCAAAGTAACACTGCGCTGCTCCTCTGGAGAAACCTCTTGAACGGGGTGAACTCCCAGGCATGGCAAGACAAACCCTGGGAATCTAGGCACGGAATAGATAGCGAGAGTGTGAAAGGCCACAGAGAGCCGAAGTTTAACGCCAAGAGCCCACAGAGAGCGCAGGTTTAAAGACAAGAAGGGCCGGCCTGACCGAGGGGCGCAGCGCATCCCCCGGCATTCCCAAGGCGCGGAGCCGTGCCGGGACACGGCCGGGCTCCGGGCTCCGCCGGCCTCGCACCTCTCAGACAGCTCCACGACGCTCCGGAACTCGCCCGCCTGCTCCGACACCACCACCAGCGCCGACACGGCCGCCTACGGCACACAGAGAGCCCCGGCCCGCTGAGACCGGCGGGGCCGCGGGCAGAGGGTCCCCTCAGGCGGCCCCCGCCTCACCTGCTCCGCCGCCCGCACCACGGCCGCCACGTCCTGCAAGAGACAAACACCGCCTCAGCGCCGGGCCGCGCCCGGGGCTCCCCCGCCCGCCGCGCCTCACCGGCTGGAAGCAGGGCGCGCCCAGGTGGCAGTGACAGTCCACCGGCCCCGCCATGCCGCGCCCGGCGGGAAGGCGCCGGGCGGCCGCGGGTTCCGCTTCCGGGCCGGCACTTTCCCCGCGTTCCGGGCGGGAAATGGCGGCGCTGCCGGAGCCGGGGCCGGAGCTGGAGCCGGAGCCGAGGCGGGCGCGGCGCAGCGGGAGCCCTGGGTGCGCTGCTGCTGGCAGCGCGGGCTGAGCGCGGTGCTGGAGCTGTGCGCGCCCTTCGTGCGGGCCCTGGCGCAGGGACAGCCCGGCGCGGCCGCCGCCGAGGCCGACGCGCTCTGGGTGAGCGGGAGCGGGAGCGTCCTGGGCCGGCACAGGGCCCGGCTGGCAGCGCTCGGCACCCGGGCTGAGGGGGCGGCTTGCCCCGGGCTGGCTCCCGGGCAGGGCGGTGAGGCGGGACGGGCTCTTCCTGCAGGAGGGATGGATGGATGGATTCACGGCTGGACCGCTGGATTCTCAGTCTGTCCCGTGCCTTGCAGAACTTCCAGACAGCGGTGCGGGAGAACGTCACCATTAACGGGCAGCCCTGGGAGGAGGCCTCGGATAACTCCCGGCTGCAGGGCGGTAGGCGTCAGTTTCCATTCCCTTCCTGCTGGGTTTGTTTTGGTTTGGTTTTTTCCTGAGGTGGAAGGGGTCCGATTGAAAAGGGAGGTTCTGACTTGATATATGGAAGTAAAAACTCATTCTTAGGATAACAGAGCATTGGAAAAGGCTGCCTAGAGCTTGTCTCCAGCGCTGGAGACTTCCAAAACCCATCTGGACAAAAGTGCTGTGAACAACCTGTTTTGACATGGGCATAGACCCTGCTGTGAGCAGGAGGCTCTGGAGGGCCCTTCTAGCCTGAGTGTTGGGGGCAGTGACCAAACATCCATCAAAAGGCCCTAGGAGACTGTCTGTTGCTGCTATTTAATATACAGATTAAGTGTTAAGAAGTATTGCTATATAAATATATGTAATAGAAACAATGTATTTATAATTGCTGTCTTTTGAATAATAGTAGTGGCGATTCTTGGTAGTGTGGTGTCCAAAGAAAATTTCAGTGCGGTTCATTCGCTCAGTTGTGTTGGCTTTAGGTTCTTTTTGCTTGCAGCTTAATGCCTTTTGCAGTTACACAGAGGTGAAAATACAGATACATTGAGCTAATTGTGGAGCTGTTAAACCAAAAACATTGAACTGTTTTTTTGGTCGGGATGCTCTAAGCAAACTGTGGGCTCTGAGCAACGTGATCTAGTTGAAGATGTACCTGCTGATTGCAGGGGGCTTGGACTAGATCACCTTTAAAGGCCCACACTATTCCAACCCAGACTATTCTCTGATTCTTTGAAGTGTCTGCAGTTGTAGTTTTAGAATTATAAAACTCCAGCTACTTTGACTACAAGGTCAAAAATGCACGGAATTCATGATGCAAAATGTCATGATTGTCATCTGCCCACAGCTGGAATAAAGCAGGTGTAAGGAGTGTATTCTGCTGTTTAGTTTGATACGAATTTACTCATGTGCGTATCTCTGATCCAGTTTGAGTCACCAAGAGATCTGGAATTTTGTACCTTACATGTTTATGTTGACCAGTGGCTTAAGTCTTTCCTGTCATTACTTAAATGGTTTCATGGTGATCTTACAACAAACAACCAGGACAAACCCACAGACTCCTGAAACCCTGACTTTTCCTGTCTGAATTGCAATCACTTGATTCTGCACAGAGTGACCCAGAGAGGGTGCTCAAAATCCATTCTTTACCACTAGATTAAAAATATTGCATGGCTTGCAAGATATACTCAACACGTTAACGGGAACAGTGAATTTAAATGTTAAACTGCTTATTTGTGCACTGTGTGATGTAAATTCAGTTAGGCTTCCAATTACTGTTTGTACAGTTGGAGTTTGTTTAATGCTTGTAAATCACACAGATAAACCATTTTTCTCCTTAAAAGATGGCCATTGCTTCCTAAGACTTTCTTCACAGATTCAGAGTTCATAGGGAAATACATTTGTTATTTTTTCCCCTGGATGGTTCTCTGCCTACCCCCCCCCAAATCATTTATTTCAAAATAACTGGCCAACATCAAGTTATGCTCCAATCTCTATACTGCCGTAGCAGGGAGATTCAAGACATCCATTTAATCCATTTATTTCTATGTTGATAATTGTGCATGATATTTTTAGTTTGAGATCTAAAGTTTCTTTTTCTTGATAAGTTTGTCTCAAAAAAAATTGTCTGAGAATTCCGCAGTAACTACGTGTGTTTGTCACTTTCAGATTCCAATTTTCATATTCTGGAGGAACAATTTGATGATTTAGTAGTAGAGACAGCAACTAAGCGTAAACGGTGGTCTAGAAAGATCCTGGTGCATGCTATCCAGACCATGAAAGCAGAGCAAGAGATGTTGGTGAGTAACCTAAGACTTCCAGAAAACCTTTGCATTAAGAAATCAATCATCCAGTGTTGACCTTTAAGCTCCTCTCCATAGTTGCTATTGAGTCTTTAGCATAAATGAAATTGGTTTTTTAATGAACTGCTTCTGCAGTAACAAGGTTTAAACTTAGTAAGTTTACTGAGTAACCAAGCATAGCTACAAAGTGTTGTGGTTGTGTCTGAATTGTATCTGTAGCACAAAGAAACTGGAGCATATTGCTTTGTGGGAACTCAGCACATCACTCCGGGTGTCCAGAGCTACCCAGACAACCCTTGGGGGGCTCGGAAGTCCTGGAATGTTGCCAAAAGTGCCTGGTAGCTTGACTTTGACCCTTCTAAAGAAGTGACACCTGGGTATGAGGTGATGAGAGAATTTCAAGTCTGAATGGTGAGGGGATGATATTCACTGGGTGAAACATAGATTTTAATGCACTGTACAGGGGGGTTTGGAATCCTGTACATGGGGGTCAGGAGTCCCAAGATGGAGGGATTTGGGCGTGCCCTGTCCTTCTTCTTTCTTCTCCTTGGCATCCATGTTCAGGATGATGTTGGCACGTGTGGATTTGTTCATGGTGAAGTTGCACTTGCCAACAAGGGTGAAAAGTATTGGAAATAGAAGGTAAATATATTATACGTAGTTTTCACTATAAAAGACACAACCGCCCCATGGGCGGGGGAGACTGCTTTGGGCTGCCTTGCCAATCAGACCTCGGCTGGGCAGACAGAAAAACTTTGTAGATAAGAAATAATAAACACAACTGAAGACCGAAAACTCAAGAGTCCAGACTCCTTCTTCAAAGCGCGGCCTGCCCAGAACCACCTTTTCCCATGTTGGGGCAGACACAAGTAACAGCCGACCCCGACATTGCTTCATCCTTGTGACTTAAGATTTAGAAACCAGTAGGCACCTAGTTATCTTCCAAGTTCCTGAAGTCCTTGCTCAAGGGCTGGTTGAGATACTAAAAGTTGCACTACATACATACAGATAGTATCACATGCAGTGTATGACTTAAAAAAATGTCAGTGGCTTCCTAAGCACTTTTTTGGAGCTAGTAACTACATCAAGTAATGACTTTCAGTAAAGCATGGGTAAAAAGGCAGTGTGGGTTAATGAAGCAGCACAGTAAATTCCGTGTGATTTTTGACACACAGTGTAAAGTAATTACTGGCATTAAACAACCCAGTAGTGTCCTCAGCTGCTGGATTTCTTCCCTGAAGTTATGTTAGGCCTCTCTTTTGCTTACCTCCTGATTAATTAGGATTCCTTTGGTAAAAAACAAGAGGCTGAGGCAGAGTCAAACACTGGCACAAGCTGCCCAGTGAAACTGCAGTCTTCATCCTTGGGGAGATTCATGGAGTTGACTGGATGAGGTTCTGAGCAACCTGCCCTAGTTAGCCCAACTTTCAGGAGGGTGTTTAAAGGTCCTTTCCAACTTCAGCTATTCTATACTAAAGCAGACAGGGATTTTTTTAGAAGGTTGTGTAGGAGCCTGCATTGCATTTCTGAGGACTAAAATTGGCAAATGTTAGTTAACTCTCTAGATTAGCCAGGCAGAAATGGTTTACAGTAAGGAAAAGTGCATGGGTGCACTTTCATCTTACACCTGAGATATTTTCTGACATATATTACCTTTTGTGATCTCTCTGTTTTGTCAGCGTATTAAGTATGTAAAACAAACAAACAAAATCAACTTAAATAAAATATGTTATTGCATAACACCTAGATTTAACAAGACCTACCTGAGTGCCACAGTGGATTACCTATTTGGAATACCTCTCATGCTACTTTTTCTCTTGCTGATCTTTTCAAAGTTCACACTACCACAACTTGATGATTATTTTAATTAAAATTGTCTGCAAAAGTTTAGTTTATCCCTGTAAGAATATGTAGAAATATATGTAAGAAATATGGAAAGCTTAGTTTATCTCTGTAAATGGTCCTTTTTTTAATCTCTCAGCTATTTTGTAAAGGTACCAGTAGTTTCTTTGGTTTTGGTTGAGGATTTCTTGTGTTCTTTCATTACCATAGCTAATTGTGTGATGCTTCCTGAAGCAAAAAGAGCAGCCATGAAGACGTGATTTATCTGGAGAGAACCACTCATTTATTGTGGTGATTTCCTTGTAATTGCCAAAGCCAGAGATCGTCCTGTGGGTTTTCAGTCAATACGGTCTGTAGAGTTTGAGGTTAATGCAAGTCATGTTGGTTCTCCTGCTTGGAGCTGTTAGTGCAAACTTGCTAAGAAGTTATGTGAACTGTTGAAAAATTTCTCCCAAAAGTACAGCAAGGAATAATTAGCTTTCCCCTACTTGGTTTTGCTTGAAGAAGGTTGAGGGACAGCTCCTGAAGTGGAGAACACTAACTTGCAGATGATCTAACTTCTGTTCCCTCAGCCTTGCTTTGTTTCCTTCTTCCCTGTTAGCTGCTTCCAATTCCACCTTTAATGTAACTGAGTATGGGTTACATTCAGTTATTACTAGTTTACTTCATGTCTCAGTTAACTGATGTAAGATCACAAGACTTACAGTTTGTGGAACAGAATGTTCTTAGCTCTATCTAAGTAACTGTAGGGCTAGAGTGTAGTTGTTTAAGTACTTTTTTTTTTCTTAGCTTTTTGTCTTAATGTACCCATTGTTGGAGTTTGTGGTTCTGTGAAAGCATGCTGACTCTGTGAATGGCTCCTGAGAAGCCAGAGCAGCTCTTTTTCCTCAGTCATGCAGCAGGTGGCAATGCTTCTTCCAAAATGCCTGGATGTCAGTTCTCATGCTATAATAATCAAAATTCTGCAAACTAAAGCAGATTCTGGAGATGTGTTTACAGTGAGTGTAACTGTGTTAACCAGTATGCTATTTTCAGTAACTAAGTATCTATAATCTGTACCTCTAATACATTCTTGATCTAAATAATTCCACCACAATCTCCATTGTTCTGATTGCTATATGTATATTAGATATCTGTTAAACCAAGGGAGTATTTCACAATTTTGGTTTGTGTTTTTGTTTTGTTTTGTTTTGTTTAATAGAAGCTCTACCAGCCTGTGGTAAAACCAGCAGACGTAAGACCTCTGCAATCTCAAGGTAAAGATTTTGTGGAGAGGGTAACTGTATTGAGGAAACGCTGCCTCACTTACTGGCTAACTGTAAATGTTTGAAAAGTTTTCTTTCTTCAAGCTTATTTAAAATTGGCTGTTTATAAATTCTGAAAAGCTAGAAGTTTTTCATAAGTGAATGTATTGCTGCCTGAGTTTTACTGTATCCATTTCTCTCATTCTGAGTGCTGCCTGCAGTTAGGCACTGTACTTGAAGGCAAAAAGCTGGCAAAGGCCTCTGTGTGTGTGTGTTGGGGGGAAAAGTGGTCACACAGCTACCCCCAGAAGGCTTCCTTACTTCTTTCCTTCATCACTGGTGGAGGCCAGGTGGGGAACTGGGTGGATCACTGACATTGTACTTCATCTGTTCTTGTGTTCTTTTTACTAGTATACTAGAAATGCTTCAACCTCTCTTTCTAATCAGTCAGTTCCTTCAGGGAATTGAAAGCTGTTGTGTAGGACTCAGTGGTGGCAGTGCTGACTCTCCTAACTTGCCAAGTAGGACACAGATTTCATCCTGCCCGTGTCACTTGTGAGGGTTGATGAAGGAACAGAGCTGCAAACAGCATTGTAAGTTTGCTGCATGGTTTGGAAAGGTGCCTTGTACAGACTCCTTGGAACAAGGTGATAGATTTTGCAGTGGATGATTGGGATGTCCTCTTTTGAGGCTGGCTTTAATAAATGGGAAGTTTTGTGTTGCCTGTTGTTTTTGATTGAAAAATAACAGAATTCAGCAGTGCAGTTCTAATTTGAAAAGTGAGAACCCTCACTATGAATTATGGCACATGATGTAACAAGCAGTGGTGCTCAGAGTTTGAGGAGCTGAGCTGGATTTTTAAGTTCTCACCCTGCTGATCTGACTTCATTCTAAACATCATTTCCTCTTGTACAGGGAGACATGGTTTCCAGCAGTGCCAGCCTGGGCAGCAAAGCAGCCAGTAGGAGCAGTACAGTGGTCACTTTATGTCTGACTTCCTTTTGGTTTCTAGTGTCCAAATACAAGCTTTTCTTATGTCAGTCAACTACTTGCAAGTTAGTAGCAGCTTGCACTATGATATTGTGGTTTTGGGTTTGGTAGGGCAAAGTTGCAGCAAAGATACCGTGGAGTTTATGGAGCATTTTGGTATTATGTAGTCTTTGGGAAGTTTATGTATCCCAGTTTAGCAAGTACAGTGGCCAGAAACCAAAAATGTTTAGATTACTCAATACCTTTCATTTCCTTGTTTCATTTCCCTATGTTTTGGAAAGCCTTGAACACTGAGGAATATAATGCCATCTATGTCAACCTAAACTCTTGCAGGCACATTTCATTTAACTGTGTGTCAGTCTTTCTATACAATAATCCAAATAATTATATTTCTTCTTTCACTTAACTCCGTCCTTGCCATTTGATATGGTTACCAGCCTTCTCACCCCAATACTTTATTGTAAGAGTGCTTCATTGTACATATATCCGTCTTTTACAGAATGCCCTTCCATATTGCTCTGAGATGAGTTTAAAGAGGTTGCTTCTTGACTTCTAATTCTTCCAAACTGAATGATGGTGCATTTTAGTGTCCATGTTCATGTAGGGATCTTGTGTTCCTAAACCAGCTCTGACCAGTGCACTGGATGCATGGACAGTTCAACAAGCACCATCTCTTGGTGGTTACCATGTTTCAGCAAGGAATCACTGTAACCCTGAGCTAGAATGCAGTGACTGACTTCAAAATACCTTCAGCAGCACTAATAAGATTGACTTCAAAACAGAATACTGTGTTTAACCCTGACAGGGTTTAGGGTTGTGTGCACCACCTGACACTGTGTCCAACTGCAGGCAGTGGTGAAACCCTTCAGAAAACTAATAATAGTGGAGATGAGGCTCCTTACTTCTCAGAAGCATGCTAGTCTCCTCATTTTAAGTTTTGTGGATGGAGAACATGCAAAACACTTTCATAATAGGCTAGAGTTTAACTCTTGAATATAGAATTAAAGTATTAGTGATCTTATAATATTGCTGTTACAGTCAAATATATGCTGGTGTTCTGCACCTGCTGCCTGCTTCAGTGTTGCTGAAAGCTGGGGGGTTTTTTCTTGTCTTATTAGCACAGCAGAATTAATGCAGTTTGTGTTATTTATGCTTGGTTCTTTTTGGTGTTGATGCTTGATAAGTTAAGCCAGAAGAAAAAAAAGCAGCTTTTATTGTAAAAGCCAACTTGTCAGAGACATAGAAAGATTTATTTGCCCTCCTTAAAATGGGTTTTCTAAATCTCATGTTCCCCACAGTGGTGTCTATTCTTTGTTTCTGTGTGGGTTTTATCAAATGTAATGTGAGCTTAAAAGTTTTGAAAACAAATCTTTCTGTGTAATTATTTCTTTACAACTGTTCTCTTATTTCAAATACTGGCTTTGTGTTTTTTAGGTAAGAGCTTTGGGGCTTTCTGTAGTTGGGACTGCTAGCCTCTACTGCAGTTTGAGTGATAAAGAGTATTACTAGTGAGATCCACCATGCCAGCTGTCATCCTCAGTGTTAGAGTGAAGGGGATGTGCTGCAGGTTTAGGTTTTATACAGGGACTTTACTGGCTTTCTGTCCATTTTCTGATAGTGAGTAGTGGGGGAAAGAGTTGTGTTTCAGAAGTTGATTTGTGCTGTGTTTGTCTGTAGATGCTTACATCGCAGAGCTGAAACAGGTGACAGAAGCAGCATCCAAACAGATCAGCAAAGCAATGCAGGTGAGACCTCCGTGTGCTCCAAGAGAAATACGTTTCTATCTTCTTGATCTGGTAATATGTCACAAAACACGAGTTCTAACTCATCTTCCTTATAGTTTGGTAGAAAAAAGCCTGGTGTGTGTACTTAGGAAGCAGGTAAAGCATTGTGTTTGTAAAACATTTCCCCTCATGTGGTAGTAAGGGAGATAACCCAGGAAATACTTCTGCTGAGATTTTGGAACCTGCAGTGCTGGAAAAACAGAACATCTTTTGAAGACTTGTATGACTTCATCTGGAGTATGACATTTGTTACTTCAGTACCTGCTTAGGCATCAGCTCTGGTGTTCCTCTGATACTGCCTGGGCTTAGAGATGTCGTGAGAGAACACTTCAACTTGCTGCACTCTTTGCATGGTTTCTGAGTGCAGACCCCTCACTATTGGGGTGGTAGCTCTGCGTTCACAACCCCCACCCACCATCCTGGGCATCATCTGTGCAGAGACTGAAGCTTTTGTACCTGTCAGAATCTCATTAGCATATTGCATGCCTTATAACCATTGTTTTTCCCATGTAACTTGAGATACTTGGGTTTGTTTTTGCAGTCTATTCTGGCATTCACAGAAAAAGCAGAAGGTTTTTCCCAAGCATTGAGTTTGCAACCAGCCTTGGAACTCTGCAAGCTGCAGGAAGAAGTCTTTTCTGGTTTCAAGGTGAAGGAGGAAAACAGTGTCCAAAATTCAGTACCACCAGGAGAAGTCACACCAACAGGAACTGTTTCCAGTAAAAATCCTTGTGTTTTGCTAAAAAGAAGAAGAGCTGCAGATTCCCCCAAGAGAAGGCGCTACCCACTGCGGCGGAGGAAGATCACTCTCAGTGCATGAATTTCTCGTTTTGTGTTTTCACATTGGAATCTCAGTTGTACTTTTGTTCCATCTGTTCCATCTTTTTTCTTAGAACTCATCTCCCCTCAGTGCTATACATGGGAGCTTCTTTAATTAGTCTTTGACCTCTTAAATATTTCTGCTTTTGCTGGCATGCTGATGGTATATGGTACGTGTACCAGTAGCATCCCATACCCAGCAAGTGTATTTTCCATTTAACTCATTTTTTGCTCTTATATTGCAGTTTTTAGCTTGAGTCCTTGTGCTTCTCAGAGTTCTTGTGCATGCTTTATGTATGTGGGCAGTCTTTTAGGAAACTACTAACTGCTCATTTACATTCAGCATGTCTCTAAAGAGTTGGAGAATGTCTAGTTCTCCTAATGCACCTTCATTAATTACTAAGGCATGTGGCTTTTATGTTAATGAATTAATTGACGCTGCAGCAAGATGCAATCACCTAATGTGATGCGATGTTGGAGTTTTAAGCACGTGATATTAGTCCTTGCTATTCTACCTTTCCTGAATGTAGGTCATCTAGGCTTATTTATAGTCATGTTTGTCAAAACATGGATTTTTAATAATTGTATATATTTACTTGCAGTGTGCTCTTCTGAACAGGAATTTAACCATCTTAGGGTCTGATATATCATTTCATGTAATCCCATTATGCAGCCTGGTGTTTTCCTGAGCAATATTTCTACCCAAGAAAGGATGTTGACTTGGGTTATGTTGCATTAGTTGTTTGACTAAACTTAGAGATCAGTAGAGGCTACCAGTAAATGGTATTTACCTGAGCTATCTTAATTTTGTACTCATTAGTACCTAGAAGATTGCAAATTAGTACTAAATTGAGCATTGTGCCTTAACCATTTATAATTTTTTCTAGTTTATGGTTGCATGTGCCTGCAGTAAATACTCCTGTCTAGTATGTAACATATTTGTAACACAGTAAATGGAGGGAGGGTTTTAGAAGCTTTATTAATTACATATTTGGTGCTAAGAAGACAGGCCTGACCTAATGTCTAAGAGACTGAGAATTCTCAAGAAAACAGATTTTAGCATCATACTGAGACTTTGTATATATGATCATATGTAAATATTTTTCCTGACCTTGTATACAAATGTGTGTTTTTATATGAAGTAAATTAAATCAATTAAGGAAGATCAAAGCTTCAGATAATATTGTCAGTTCTAATTCTGGAATAGATGGTGGCTGAGCAGTGAGCATACTTCGGAGGACATCTGTGTTAAATTCTGGCTTGAGTAACTGAAGTAGTTCCATGTACTGCCTTTGAACTCACAAGTGTTATTAATCTCGGGCTGTAAAGCTTCTCGTGTGAGAGAGGACAGGATGTGAGAGGGACTGGGGCTGCAGGGCTGTGGAACGTGTGGCTCAGACAGCTTCTCACACAGCCACTTGCTATTTTGAGTGCCCGTGCTGTGTGCGGCGTTGGAAATCCCTGCTTTGGCTTTCTTCATACAGATCCTGGGTGTTGCTAGGCTAAGGTGAGCACTGCAAGATTTTGCATGACAACTGTTACAGTATTTGGCCATTTTCTCTGTTAATAGGAGGATTCTCTGCTCTTGTCTGCAACTGATAGGCAAGTACAGAAAATAACTAGGAATAGGTATATACCTCTTCGGGAAAGTTCTGTCAGAAATAGCTGGGATAAGACAAATGCCATAAGAAGTAAAAAGGGAAAGCACTTAAACTGTGGTTTAAGACTTAATAAATAAATTCATAGATTCACACTACAGTGCATGTTTCTAGTTAGAGACTGAGGGATAGTTGGCCTGCACAGGATTTCAAGGAAGTGGGAATGAATGCCCTGAGTTAGAGCAGTCAATCTTTGTTCCATAGCCCATGTTGCAATTGCAACTGGGTGGAAGAAGAAAAATGCATCTGGAAATGCTGGCCAAATGGCCTAAAGAAAAAGATAAAGCAATCAGGGTTCCAAGTGCAGTGTATAAAGTAGGAATTTAAAAATCTGATGGCCAAGCAGTGCTGGAAAGAGAGCCTCCCTTGAACTGAAAGTTCTATGACGAACTAAACCCAACATGAATGTTCAGCAGTTTTTCCAGTGGTTATTAAAAAATTCTACAGCCAGTGATACCTGCAACTAGCTGTTCTTCCCATTGGCAGAAATACATAAAACACTTCGTTTTTCACCCACTCCAGTAGCCTTTTGTCCTTCAGTTAACTTTTCATAGGAATTGGCAGTGTTGTGCAAGACATGTCTAATCAGGCTTCTACTGAAATGTCACAACAGCCAAGCTTCTTATTTTTAACCTGGGACGAATTGGTATTGCATCAAGAAATGTCTGGTAGTTTTTCTTTATATAGCCTTTGAATTTTGTAAGACAGCTCAATGGTGATGAATGCTTGGGTTCATTTGCAAACTGAGTTTGAATTTCTTGGCTTTCAGGGGTGAGACAGAACATCTTGCTGTTTGTTGGTGTGTCCTGTCTGCAATGTGCTTTTTGCTCGTGAGGCTGGGCCATCCTCAGCCAAGAAAAACTTGCAAATTGGAGCAGCATTCCACGCCTGCTTTTGCTGTGTATACTTTCTGAACAAAGGGGATTATGAACTCTAGAGGTCCTCTTCACATGGACCCTGACATCTGTTTGGAAGCCTGGGCGCTCTGAGACCCAGTTCTGACACGTGCCATTCTCCAGAAGAGCCGTGCTGTGCTAAGCTGTGATCAGAGACTAGTCTACATGTGTGTAGGCTGCTTCATGCAGACAAATATCACTGATAAACTGCCATTATAAAATGTAAGCTCAGCTGACTAGGCTGCTTTCTGGGCTGGTTTTCTCTCCTGCACAGAAACGCTCTGCCTTTACTGCTGCACTACCTGGAATTACTGTGTAGGCATTTCTGCAGATGTACCAGAGATAGCTTTAATACTCAGTAGAAACATGTTCCCACAAGCAAATTTTGATTTGTCATTTCCTTTGTCATTTGTTCTGAACAGACTATTCAGGCTCAAGGGGACTGTCCCCTGGCTTGTCCCATGCTTGTGTTAGCCTGGAAACCTTATTCTGCAGCTGCTGGGAATTATTCAGTGAAGTGGATATTTATTCAGGACTAATAAATTCTTGGTGAGCTGCTCATGATTTGATGCTGACACGTAGCTGGTGCAGGTGCCACTTGCAGCAGCATTGTTCCTGGAGCGTGGAGTTCAAAGTCCCTCTGTGGAAGGGGACTTTCTTTCCCACAGATCACTCCAGCGGACTGTTGAGGTGTTTTATCCACATGGTTCATGGCCAGAGAATGTACCTGGTCCCTGAGCCTGTGAAAATACTGGCTTCTAGTCCTATTTCAACTGAACTTAAGCTACAAAGGCAGCAAGATCCCAGAGCTCTCTTTTTAAGCAACTGTTCCAACTAAGTCTCCGTTCCTGCCCTGGTGTACTGCATGAGGTGTAGTTAATGCAAGATTAGGCTCTTTCAAAGGAGCAGTTGAGAGCAATTCACCCTCTAATAGCTGTCTGCCTGGTGGCCTGGGCTGCTTTCCAGGAGGTGCTGGTTTGGACTCCCTCCTCTGGAGAACAGCTCTGAACCCACACCTTACTGCTGCCTCCATGAGCCGCCCTTGGTGAGCATCCTGCTCTTGGCACATTAGATGGCAAAGGGAGAAAGAAGCAAGGCTGCTTTTGAAGAAAGCAGGGGATGCTCTGTGAGATGCTTGGGAGACCCAGCACAGTCTGGGGCTGCACATTAGGTCAGGGTATATTGGCAAGAGTGTGCTTCCCAGCTGTGGTCACCAGCCACCTTCCCATGGCTGATAGGGTGGGAAGACTCAGAGGGACTCAGTCCTCCAGGGTTGGAGAAGCTCTTTGAAAAGTGCAAAAGCAAATAAATGCATGGATAGCCTGTAGGGTTGAGACACAAGCTGCTTTGAGGTGGAACAGCTGGGAAGAAGCACTTCAAACCAAGGAAGTCATGCTCAAGTCTTTTAGTCACAGTCCCAGAGCCTACCAGGAAACATGTGGCAGAGCACAGGCGTTGGTTTGACTCTTGGACTCCAGGGAACATGGTTCCCTCACCTTTAGCATGAACTGTTAGCCAGATCTTCCTGGAAGGATAGTCTATATTTACTCAGTTTGCCAGCTCTTTAACTTCATCTAACCTGGATGACTCAAGCTGCTGAGGAAACCAGAAAAATAGGGAAGTATCTGATTTCTTGAGATCTCTGGGGCTTTATGACCGACTGCCCTGCAGTTTGGAGGCACATACCCTCCTCACATGGTCGTGTGTTCACCTTTGTGAGTCGAGCACAGCCAGGAGGGTACAAATCCTTTTGCAAGAAGAGCAAGGACGTTGAAGTAGCTGTCAGTGCAAACACCCCCTTTCAGAGCATAAGGCCAAGGTAACTGTGGAATTAAAATGCAGGAAGGTGTTCCAAGAGGTAAAAGAAACAGTGTTCTGTTAAGATACTCTTCACAGAATAGTAGAAGAGAAAGATTTTTGTCTGCAGCAACTATATTTCCAGCAGTCTTTGTCTGGCTTTGCCTTTACAAGAAGTCTGTCGCATTTCCTTATTATTTAAAGGAACAGGGTGAGTAGCGAAAGTGAAAATCGCTTTATCCCAGCACGGATGCCGTGTCCTCACACCCACGATCCCGGGCTGAGCTGGCTGTCCCCCATGCGGAGCTGCCGCCGCTCCAGAGAGCCGATGTCAGAGGAGCGCGGCGTGCAGGAGCGGCCGGAGGTGAGCGGCGGGAGACACACGGGGGCGAGGCCGGCTCCCGGGGGCAGCCTGGAGAGGAGAGAAACTGCGGGGAGTTTATTTCTGCAGGCGAAAGAGCGACTCGGGCCTCCCGGAGGGGCGTCGAACCCATCCGGCGCCCGGGGCTGGGGCTCTCCGGGGGGATTTTCAGGCAGCTCCTGCCCGGCAGCGCCGTGACCCGGACTTTCCCCGGCTCCCGGCGGCTGACGAGAGCCGGCGGTCCCGGGGGGCGGTCCCCGCGGGATGGGGCGGCCGGGTGGTCCCGGGTTCCCGGTGCAGGCGGGCGCCATGTGACGGCTATGTGGGCGGCGGCTCCGCCCGGGCCGCTCCGGCACCTGGCTGCGGCACCCCCGGCCCGGGGCGGCGCGTCCCGGCCCCGGCCCGCCGGCGGCCAGCGCGCTGTCCCGGGGCGCGGCGGCCGAGGGCGGCCAGCAGGTAGGGACCGGGCGGCGGGCCGGAGAGCGGGCACATGGGGCTGAGTCACGCCGGGCAGCGCCGCGCCGGGGATACCCGCTGCCCCTGGGTTTCGGCCCTTCTTTTCCCGGGAGGCGGCCGCCGTGCTGGCTCTTCCCAGGTGGGAGCGCGGGCGAGCCGCCGGCGCCGGCCGGAGAGCGCCGGGGCACGGCGCGGGCAGCGGCTTTTCCCGAGGCGCGGGCAGCCGGGAGGGGAGCAGGGCTTTCCTCCACGCTGCTCGCACCTCCGCCCCGTCGGCCGCGCTGCAGCGAGGCAGGTGTCAAGTGCTGCCCGCCGGGCAGAGCGGGAGCGCCGGTCCCCGCTCGGGTACCCAGCTTCCCCCATCGGTAGCGGTGCCCCTGCTGAGCACTGCATCCCCCGGGCAGCCTGCCGGCTTCCACCCCTCCGCTTCGGGTCCGCCTGTGCAGTGGGGGAGAGGGATGCGCTGCTCTTTGCAGAGATCTTGCGCTCTCTGGGAGACCGAGGATCAGCGCTGTAAAACTGGAAGTGTTCGTTCTCAGAAAGTTACACACCCGACTTCGGTCATCTTCTATGTGCACCTTGCAAACTAGCAAAGTGTTTCTGGCTGATGTCTTCCAGAGTCGTGAAGAAGATGACAGGAAAGTAAGGAGGAGAGAAAAAAATCGAGTTGCTGCCCAGAGGAGCCGGAAGAAGCAAACTCAGAAAGCAGATAAACTTCACGAGGTGAATGGGTACTTGGTGCTTTGCAGGCATGGCTTGGGTACCAAGCACGGGACTTTACAATAAACAGGAATTCTTAAGCAGGCATGGGCCTATCTTCACATAATCCTGCTCAGAGAGCTGTGGATGTGAGGCACAGAGGGTGTGCTGTGGGATGCCTGGCTGGGAACTCCCAGACACTGATGCTGCTCTTGGACAGTGCAGCTCTGCCTTCAGTGACACTGCTAGGAAGAGAGAGACATGGTCCTGCCCATGCCTCATCCTCCCCCTTTTGCTCTTCCTGTGACCACCCAAAGAATGGGATCACAGGGCTCCTTTGGGCTCAACCAGAACCATTTTCTTCTGTATTAGTGTTAAGCTTGTCACGTTTGCTGTGACAGTGGATGAATTCTTGCTGTCTTACAAGGTAGAAGGTGATGGAAGGAGAGGGGGCCATGCACTGGCAATGCTGGCTTAAATCAGTTCTAGAGCTGTGGTGTCAGCATTGCCACTCAGCAATGGGGTTCCCAGACATACCCAGCTGAAAAGGTTTCTTAGGAACTTGGGAACCTGCAAGTGTGAGAGCTCGGCCTGGCTAGCTGTTACCCTTGTATGCTTTGAAAAGTAACAGTTTTGAAAATCTTCCAGAAGCTCTTAATATCACAATGTGGTGTGCTTTTCTTGTGTCCCCAGTGCAAATACTGGAGGACAGGGATCCCTTTTCTCTGGTTTTGGATGTTGCCTCACACTACAGTGCTCCTGTAGCCAGGAGTCAGCTTTTGGGGTAAGTGACAGTTTTGCAGCACACTGCCACTGTGGCTGAGTCAGTTGCTCAGCTCTGAAGGTTCATCACAGGCTTTTTTCTTTCTCACTGTGGAAGGATCTGCCAGCAGTTAGCAGAGACTAAGAGGGACAATGTGGGGAGTTTTGGGCTTGGTTTTTCCCAGATCTCCTCTGAGTCAGCGCCTGAGAAAGCCAGGTGCAGGGTAGTTCTGAAAACGGGTAACCTCTGGCTTTTGTGGAATAATTTTTGGGCCCTGTGGCATCCTGCAGCCTCTCTGATGTTCCTCTTGAACTTGAGGATATTCCTCGTGCTGGGGATTTTCATTTTGAGGCACACAGGTTTTGCCAGCTCTAGGCAGATCTGGTTGAATAGACATTCGTTCTTAGCAAGAACAATGTGACAGTTTCACCTCTGAAAATGAAACAGAGCAATGGGACAACAACATTTATTCCAAAACCCAGGACCACGGGGTTTGGGGCAACAAGAGATGAGCAGAATGACAGTGGGGGTCGGGCAACTTGGCTGGAGTTTGGTTCCAATGCTGTGTTAGGAGGACTGTGCCTGTTTTACTCTGTGAGAGGTGGCTCAAGGGTGTGAGGGAGGACAAGGAGCCCAAAGTTCTGCAGCAAAGGGGAGCAGAGGCAGTGCCAGGCTGCCCAGAAGAACACTGCATGAGGAGCTCTCCCTGCTGCCTTTTAAGGCACGTGCAGGCTTTGAAGTTTGCTCTGAAGCTTTCCCAGGGAGGTGAGACAGACTGGGTGAATGTTGAGCCTTGGGCCAGCAGCAAGACATCCATCTGCAGGTTTTCAGTGGCCTGGCTCTGAACCTCTAGCTCTCTGCTCTTCAGGGTGGGAAGGCTTAGAAGCAGGGACACTTGAGACACACAGTTATCAAAAAATGTGATGCAGGAGTCTTGCATCCGTCACATGGATGCTGCAGAGCAACTCAAAATTCCTCTGCAGTTAACAGCAGCTTATTTATTGCCAGAGAAGCTTTAGCTTAAAAGTAGACAGGTCAGAGATAACCAAAGGCAGTGGTCTGGCCTTCTGGTGACAAAATGAGTCTGGCCCTCAGGCTGGCATGATGCTTCCCTCCTCCTGAGTTCTCGGGCTTCTGAGTAGGTGGCTACAAGCTCTGTCTGCCAGGGTTGGAGGAAAGCACTGGACATGCTGTGCTAGCCTGGATAAATGGCTTTTCCTGGCACTGCCCTGGGGCAGGGGCTGCCTTTCTCTCACCAGCAGCTCCAGGCACCGGGTTTTCCCAGCACTTCTCAGCACTCAGTGCTTTCATTTTCTCTGATCTCACCGTGCAGAGTCCATTTTGGCCCTTCCCATCAGAGGCAGCCCAGAGTGGAAGAGGCCACCATGGGGACGCAACCCTCCATGCCTGCAGCCCTGGGCTCCTGGGAGACTCTGAGGGCAAGTAGCACCTCCTGGTCTTCAGGGCCGTGAAAGGAATTGCAGTGTGATCAGGGCACAGGTGGTAAAGCACTTGCCCTGTTCCAGCACCCAGGCTGGGTCTGCCTTTCCTCAGCACTTTGTAAGTTGTAGTAAGAAACCACACTGTTTTTCTACTGTTATGTGAATGCACTCAAGGTGGAAGCACTGAAAGGAATGTTTTGACTGTAAGTTGTTGGTTTTTTTCTTTCCCCTCCTTCCAGGAATATGAGTCTCTTGAGCAAGAAAATACCTCCCTGAAAAGAGAAATCGGAAAGCTAACAGATGAAATGAAACACTTGAGTGAAGTGTTGAAGGATCATGAAAAGATCTGTCCACTATTGCACTGCACCATGAACTTTGTGACCATACCAAGGCCTGATGCACTTGCCAGCTGCCTACCAAGATGAGTGCTCTCCTCAATCACCTCTCAATGTGATGTGGGAAAGTGCCATTAACAGGAGGTTTCAAGAACTGCCTAGTGTGCAGTTCTTACATTGAATAGGGCTGGACTCAACCACACAGCTTTACTCCACATTGAATTGTTACAGTCTTCTAAATCTCAGGAAAACACCAGTATGGAAAAAAAGACAGTTTGAACAGCAGCTTTTTACTTGATAGACTCTTCAAGCCAAGGTTTTGCCTTTGGAAATGTCAAAGTGCCGTGCAGCCCACTATGGAATGATGGAGTGTAGACAGGGAAAAGTACCGACCTCAGACTGGGATGCCTTTCTCCCACACATCCACTGCCAGTAACCCTTTGTCACTTGTCACCCATGCATGTCATGATCTGGCTGCTGGGTTTTGTCTCTCTGAACAGGTTTGGTTAATAAAAGTGATGTCTCATCTCCATAATGTTCTCCACCTTCTTCAATAATCTTTATAGCATCTCTGCTTTTCATTTGCTGGTCGATGCCAAAGTCTAATGCTAGTCTTCCTGTTAGTTGTTCTATTATTTACTTATCTCCTTTTCAGTGATTCCTCTTTTGAGGTGTGTGTAACAAAAGAGTTTTCTTAGTCTTTAATATTCCAAATCATCAATCCTGCTGGCATTAGTCCTTGGAGTGTTTTATATCCTAAAATACAGCTTGATCATTTTCTGATGATGATTGTCTGCTCTGTGTGGAAGAAAAGCAAACAGAGTTTGATGGTTTTAAACATTGTTTTAAAAAGCAGATTCTAAAATTTACTCTTTTAATGCACCCACTGGAAAAAGAACAAGTGTCTTCATCCTTCTTTCATCTTGCTTGTTGCCTCTGGAAGATTATGTCTGTGGATTGAGTTTTGCTAAGCATTTTGTTCTATATCTACACTGAAGGTGTTTGATAATTGCTTGAAAGAAAAACATTCTGTTTATTTTTCTTTTTAGTTACAAAAAGGAAGTATGATTGCAATGTTATTGAGAAATACACAGAAAAATGTGTTTACTTTCTCTGAAGATTCCTAACAGTGTCAGCCTCTTGAAATGTGGATGCTGTGGCTTGGGATCCAGCAATGAGTCTTTTTCTCACAGTATTTCACAAAGAGCACCTTTGGATAATAAAAATTTCCTCCCCATTGCCAACTCTCTCACTTCAGCATTGGATTTTTTTTTAAATTGAACTCATGGGATTAATTTCTCCCCTCACCAGGATCACAGTATTTATCAGCAGAATATGATCTGAAATGTCTGAATTTAGTTTTTTGTAAACTTTTTTTTTGTTTGTTTCTTTGGTAGAGTGGTGCACTGCTGATCTCTGCCAAGACAGAATTTGGGAAACCATTTAGTCAACTCTGCCTTCTAAAGGGCCCTCTTATACCATTTTCTTAGGCTAGAAACTCCAGATGGCTTCTTTATATTATTTGTTAGGTTGTTCCCAAGAGAGTTTCCAGAATTTGCATCTGCAGCCTAAATGCTGTCTTCAAAGTTCCTTATGGTCCCATAAGAACTGAGTCATCCCACAGAGAGAATCTGCAGCAGTCCCTCCCTAGGAAAACAAAAGTCTCAGTACAGTTCAAGATTTGCATTTTGGGTAATGTCCTTGAAACTGTTCTGTGTGTCACCCTTAAGAATGGAAGCTATCTTATGAATATTCATCCACACACCCACATTGCCTCGGGCACTGGATGCCACTGTGTAATTTGGGCAGAGTAGAGATGTAATGGAGAAGGAGTAGCATGGTGGAAATGAACAACATTCACTCTGGGAAAATCTGTCATAATTTAGGATGAAGGGAGAGAGGGAATGTTTCATATTGAGGTCAGGACTGTACAAAGCTGGTCTCACATATGGAGCCCTCTGGGCCCTCAAAAATGGGAGGAAAGATCAGCTAGTCCAAGACAGTTCATCCCAGCAGAATCCTTCTAAAGACTTGTTCCACAGATGCTCTCTTCCAGAAGTAGAAATCTAGTGCCCTGTGTAAAATCCTCCTCCTTACACATTTATTCTTCTAAACATCTGTCTAGAAACTCACTCCAGCTTATCACTTGGTGTCATATCCAAGTTCTGTGGCAGACTCCCCATCAGAAAGCACTGTTCTTGTTCTGCAGTTAAAGTTTTAATCCATGGTGTCTGCACCGCAGTTCATTGCTTTACGAATTATACAATGTCTATGCAGAGTGTACAGGGGAAGACAGCAGAATTCTCAATAATGTGTGATGCAGACAACAACCTAAGTCCAAGAATATGTAGCTCTTCCTTGGAAGGGCTGGGAGCCCTGTGGGAGCCCTCACTGTCCCCACTTTTTTCCCACAGCCTCAGGGTACAGCTCCAGCTCTTCCTGTGCATCATGTCCATTAGTAACAGTAGGGCATGGGTTGCTTCTTCCTCCATCTCTTGCTTCACTTTTTTTCCCAGGAATATTTCCAAAGGGCCTTTTGCATCATTCTTCTATTTGATAGAGGCACTAAGGCACTTCACCAATCAGTATATTGTGTGAGTAATGTTCAAAGGCAGCTGGGAGCCTCAAGTAAAAGAAGTGAGCAAAATTAGCATCCCAAGCCACTTAAGTCCAACATTCTGATATATTTATAGAATTAATGTGATAGCTGAATCATGAGCTGACAAAGACCATGAGCTGCTAAACCACAGGCTTATGTGTCCTTACACATGCAGCGATTATGCTTTTTGCAGGAGCTTTTTGTAAGGATATTGATTTACAGGAACCTTCAGAACAGAAAGTGTGTCCTGGAGCCTGGGATAATTTTTACATGAATAGGGAACCAGAAAGGAGAACAGAAAGGAAAAAGCCCATTTGTTAAGGAAGCAACAGAAAATTCTTTTTCAGATCCAAACCTCTCCTTTTGCAGCAGTGTTACACCATCAAAAAAAAAGGTTTCATATCTATATATGGCTAAAATCCCACTTGATGTACTGTAGCTTCAAAAAGTTTCCAGTTGGCTTGACTTGTTCCCCACAAAAATGTGGTCTGTATCACATCCACGTGATTTTCAGATGCAGGTAAATAGGGAAGATCTTTTCTATATTCAGATCATGGTTCTTGTGGGGTGCACTGTGAATTGCAGTCTTATTTGTGGATGTATTATGTAGATGAAGTTTGCTAGTAAAGCTGGATTTTGCCCCTTAGGTTCATAGTGAAGGTTACAGTTTGTAACCTTCAATTCAGTGTGGATTTATTTTTTTGCATTTTCTATGAGTCTAATGAAGAAGCAAAGTGCTTACTGCAAACTTACAGACAAAAGTATTTATTTAAGGAGCAGACTGAATCCAATTCAGCTATTTATCTATTAATTTATTTTGGTTTTAGTTGGGTAAGATTGAAAATTATTAGATTTTAAAAAGTTAATTTTATCCTCCAAAGCTAAATAAATCAACAGAAAGGCAAAGTCAATCTTCCCATTACTGCTCATGTAACAGATATCAATTGTTATACCTCAAGAGAGCTTATTAGAAAGTCTTGCTTCTTCCCACTGGTATTTTACATTCATGCCTGTGAACATTTATAAGTGCCTTCATGTACTTATCCAGTCTCACTGAAAGTATGTCTTAAAAAAAAAAATTAAACCAGCCTGCTCTACAGACTTTGTGTTCTTTGCCCTGGTACCACTTACTGTAATTTAAGTGCTCCTTCTGCAATGCCTCCTGATCTCATCTGCATTTGGTACTTGCACTAGTCTTTACAGTCTCATTATTTCAAATGCCACTTTTTTTTTTTCTTCCTGTATCCTTCTGTTTCTACATAGCTTGGTGACAACATCCCTTAATGGAATCAGTTTTAGAGGATCAAGGCTAATCTGTAGGGCCATATAAAAATTGCACTTGTATACCCTGTATATGATTAAAGGCTTTGATGTGTGCCTTGTTTTGTCACTCGAGTATTAAGGAAGGTGTCTGTGCAGTCTTTTAAGAAGTACTTAAAGGTGGCATAACCTTTACTGTAGCCTATGAAACCCATTCTGTTTCCTGTCCAGAGATGAATGCTTTGCTGCATGGCATTTGGGGTTTCCATCTGAATCAGTCTCGAATTTCTGTGTCAGTGAAAGTGATAGATAAAACAATCATTAAAAAATCCCTGTTCTCTTCTTCCCATCACTGCAGTGATATAATTTATGTCACAGAAAGGAAGCATGTCTGATTAGCAGGGGAAGTGGGGGGTTTATTTTCTGTCACAAAGACTAAATGTTATTCTCTTTATAGGAGGGTAGGAATTTTCTGTTTGTAAACCCTGGGTTACTGTCAAGTGGTCATTGGAGAAACATCTTACATGTACACATAGCATGTGGTGCAGGCACACATCCATAAGGGAGTGAAAGAATTTGGCTTCATTCTTTGCAGAAATGTGGGATTTATGTTGATTTCACTGGAAGTAGAAATGGTCCTACAGCTACCTCAGAGGACACGCAGTCCTTTGCTTACTCACTTGGGTAATATTTAACTCAAGAATAGCTCCAGGCTCTCTGGAAGTGGGTACTTCTTAATAAAGAAACTGTAGTAGCAATCATCCCTGGGATTGCATGCTCCCTTTCTGGCATTCATCCAGGTATTTTTTTCCTACTCTTAGCTCTTATGGAAAAAACCTGTAATGGTAGAGTAGGAATCTTTTCTCACTGCAGAATTTTGAAATCATGACATCAAATGTATTGTGAAAATATCTGGCATAGCTTTTGCAAATAACCTGTTTCCTGCTAATTATGAGTTTGGTCTGCTGCAAAGGAATCATTACTGTTCTCTTTAGAAGTGGAAAAACTAAACCACAAAGGTCTTGGTGTAGAATAAAAATATTCATTTGTGGAGTCAATACTGAGTGACTACGGTGCTCCAGTGTCACAGCTTATCTCCTCCTGAAGCAGCTTCTTCATGGAGCCAAAGAGAAAATGACATCTGTAAAACGTGTGTTTGCTTTAAATTTGCTGTAGGAGAGCTTTTATTGTATGTGTTCAGAAAGTTCTACAGTCTGCTGGTAGAGCTTTTTACACCCATCTGGCTGCAGTCCAATTAAGTCTGCCCAGACCATTCCCCTGGAACACAGTGTGGGTACATCTCCAGTCAGGTGGAAAAGCTTTCTCCTTTAACTGTCACATAATGAGCTTATTGTCATGTTTTCATTATTCTAAATTATTAAAACATCAAAACTCTTGAAATTCTAAGTAAGGGTTGTAAGTAGTCTCTCTTGGGATAAGCAGATTATTAAAATTTTTCTTCCCATTATAAACTGAATCTTGAGAGTACCAATTTGTTATCTGTCTCAGGTAAATAATTGACAATAAGGAATAAGCAACAAGACACTCCTTCAATATTTGATGCAATGCCATCTAAGATACAATTGCTTCAGCTGGAGAAATTGTGCAAGAATTGAAAAATAAGACTAGCTATTCAAAAAGTAGAATTAGCTGAAGGAAAATGGCAAAATTTA